GTGCCTCACAGGCTTAATACAATTTTATGACCAAGCAACAATAGTTAGGCAAGAAAGAGAAGGGTGGGCAGACTGCATTTTCTTAGACTGTTAGAAAGCCTTTGACACAGCACCCCATAAAATGCTTTTACAAAAATTGGAGCAACAGGCAGGAGTAAAAGATAAGGTGCTCCAGTGGATAAGGGAGTATCTAAGCAACAGGAAACAGCGAGTAACTTTGAGGGGGGCTCGCTACAGCTCCTATAATTCTCCCTTGGACAAAGTGTTATGGAGATCAAATTAGTGCTTCTTCCATCATCAACACGCAGTCGTCATCTAAACAAGGGAAGTGTCTTTCCAAAATCTTATCTAGTCATTTCCGGCCGGAAATGTCAGGTAGATAAGATTAATTCCGGTTAGAACATGATGCAGTGACTAAACCCATTTAATTATTCCTTGATCCTTATCTTATATAATATACAAATGTTTCCTCTGATATACCTGTCCTATATATATAGGATTCCGGCTTTACAGCGAGTGTCCTTTTAACAGGTGTAGAAGAGGAAGCAAGAATTGGTACATCAGTACCTGGGTGGTGGAGGGTAGTCTCAACTGAGGATTATTTAGTGTCATCATCCTGGTGTATACCTGGTGGACTAAGCCGGCCATACAATAGTGTATACCTGGTGGACTAAGCCGGCCATACAATAGTGTATACCTGGTGGACTAAGCCTGCCATACAATAGTGTATACCTGGTGGACTAAGCCGGCCATACAATAAGATAAAGCCTCTCAATCATCATTTACTAATATATGTAGTTTAATACTGTAGTTGGATTGACTGAATATATATAAATTTAATATAAACCCCCCTAATGTGCAAGGAGTCGAGTTGTGAGAATATTGCAGAAATACAGTCCGCTTAAACCTCATACAAATTGCTATCGAAATATATAAATTAACGTAAATATAAATTCTATATAAATTCATATAAATTAAATAAATATAAATCTCACAGGTCGGTCCCCACAATCACACCGAACCTGTCCCCTGAAGCCCACATAAAAAGAATATCATCAGCGGCATATGGTAGACTAGCCAACATAAGAATTGCCTTTAGAAACTTGTGTAAGGAATTGTTCAGAGCCTTGAATGCCACTTATGTCAAACTAATCCTGGAATGTGCAGCTCCAGCCTGGAGTCCATACCTAATTAAATACAAGACAAAGTTAGAGAAGATTCAGAAGTATGCCACCAGACTAGTCCCAGAACTGAGAGGTATGAGCTACGAGGAAAGGCTAAGGGAGCTAAACCTCACGTCCCAGGAAAGCAAATGAGTAAGGGAAGACATGATAACCACTTTCAAAATTCTCAGGGGAATTAGCAGGGTGGACAAAGACAAACCCTTTAGCATCGGTGGAACACGAACAAGGGGACACAGGTGGAAACTTAGTACACAAATGAGCCACAGAGACATTAGAAATATTTTTTTCAGTGTCAGAGTAGTTAACATTAGTAGAATGCACTAGGAAGTGATGTGGTGGAGGCTGACTCCATACACAGTTTCAAATGTAGATATGATAGAGCCCAATAGATTCAGGAATCTGTACACCAGTTGATGACAGTTGAGAGGCGGGACCAAAGAGCCAAAGCTCTTACACCAGTTGCAGGCGATGAGTCACAATAACGTGGCTAAAGTAAGTTGACCAGACCACACACTAGAAGGTGAAGGGACGACGACGTTTCGGTCCGTCCTGGATCATTCTCAAGTCGATTGGGAATCCAAGAGCTAATGCTTGATCCTGCAGGTACAAATAGGTGAGTACACACAGACACTCCCTGTAACTTGGATAGGAATAGCTATTCACTGAGCAATGAATTGTGAATATTGAATCGTATTTAATGTTGAATCGTCTTGTTAATCGTATTTAATGTTTTTCATTAATCACCCAACACCTCGTTATCTTAACTTCTCCAGACCGTCCCGTACCACTGATCACAACACACTCACTTTTTTGTATTAATACATTAGGTACATCAGCATTTGTGCAGCTGTCCTAGACTATATGAAGGGGAGAACAGTGTGTCAAAAAGCTAGCTTCGTGATTTGGCTTTTGGGCCAAATCAGGCCCCTTGCCTCTCCTCTCAACATGGAAATAACTGCCGGAGGGAAGGAGGAGGAGAGTAAGGAAGAGAAGGAGGAAGACGAGCAGGTAGAGGAAGGTCAGGCGGAGGAGGAGGAGGCGAAGGAGGAGGAGGAGGAGGAGGAGGAGGAGGAGGAGGCGAAGGAGGAGGAGGAGGAGGAGGAGAAGGAGGCGAAGGAGGAGGAGGAGGAGGAGGAGGAGGAAGGTCAAAAGGAGAGAATGAGCATTTGTTTGTATGCGCTCAGAATACAGATGTCAGTCAGTGCTGACCTACCAGTGACACCGGGAAAGGGAAGGGAACTATCGGGAAAAACCAAGCCATTACGATTACATACAGAAATCACAATAGCGTGATGTATCAAATGAACAAATCCACAAGGGCCTTGAGGAGGATTCGAACCTACGTCCTGGAAAGTAGGTCGTAGCTCAGTCGATTAAGGCAGCGTCTGGGATGCTCCCGGACGTAGGTTCGAATCCTCGTCACGGCCCCTTGTGGATTTGTTCAAGCCATTACGACTATATAACACTTGGAAGTGGTCAGGATATGGAATGGGACGGGGGAGGGAGGGGTGAAGGAATGGTGCCCAACCACTTCGACAGTCGGGGGATTGAACGCCGACCTGCATGAACTGAGGCCGTCGCTCTACCGTCCAGTCCAAGTGGACAACAGGGAAGTGAGGTCTAGCTCTTGGTGCCCCGTCTACCGGCCCTGCTGTACCCGCTGCGTTGTACCTTAACTATTCCTATGTCCGAATTCTTTACCGAATCTTGGCCCAGATTCACGAAGCAGTTACGCAAGCACTTACGAACGTGTACATCTTTCCTCAATCTTTGACGGCTTTGGTTACATTTATTAAACAGTTTACAAGTATGAAAACTTCCCAATCAACTGTTGTTATTGATATAAACAGCCTCCTGGTGCTTCCGAGCTCATTAACTGTTTAATAATTGGAAACAAAGCCGTCAAAGATTGAGAAAAGATGTATAGGTTTGTAAGTGTTTGCGTAAGTGCTTTCGTGAATCTGGCCCCTTGACCGTAGAGTCGTGGATGGAGGTGGTTCCCAGAGCTTCTTTCACTGCATTCCACTTGCTGACCACCCGTTCTGAGTACGAGAACTTCCCTACATTTCTACAACTCATTTGCGTTTCCAGCTTCCATTTATGTCCTCTCGTCCTAATTCTACCTTTAAGGGGCCGTTTTACGTGATTTTAAATGTTGTATAATATCAACCAAACTTTTTTTTACTAGTTGTATATAAAAAGGGCCGCAAGTGTTCTACGTTTCAGTATCGCAGCCTAAATAGAAAGGGCGGGAATTAGTTTTTTCAACGAATTTACACATTTTCAATAATGCTCTACAACCACAAGTTTCAAATTAAATCATTTCTATGACACTCATCTATTACATTAGCATGTAATAAAGGATTTGTATAAGGGGTATTATCCAAAATATGTTTAGTTTTACTAATACAAGTAGTCAAAGTTCCCCAAAAATATATATGCCAATATTTCATGTTTGCAAATATTTATAAAATCAATAAATGAACTTAGGAATAAAGTATTTTATAGAGATTGTAGAGGCGTAAACTCTACATATAAGGTGTAAATTTCATGTAAATTGAAAAACAAATGAAAGAGGAGAGTCAATTTTATGTTACTCGACAATAAATATGGTCAAAGATTCTGCCGCCTGTGGTTGATGTTAACATTAACCAATTTCCTCCAAAATATGCACCCTTGCAGATAGGCTTACGTTCCGTAAGGTGTATAAGTTTCATGCAAATCACCAGATAAAAAATATGAGAAAAAACAAAAATTTACTTTTCTTTTCTTTTCTTTTGGCACAAAACTAAATATTAAACTTTACTATATGCTATTGTGATAGTTTAGAGTCATTGACATGATTTCAGTTGACACTTGTGTTTAATGTTCATTTTTGACCATTTTAGAAAATTTTTGACACATAATTCAATATTTTATTTCTCCCTTCCTATTTATGCTACGATGCTGAGACCTGGACCAGTTGAGCCCAATTTCATATACAACTAGCCAAAAAAAAATTTGATTTAAATCGAACCAGTTTTTATTTATTGCATATTTTCGTAAAACGCCCCCTTACAGAGGCTGTCCTTGTCCACCTTATCAATTCACCTTAGTATCTGGAATATTGCGATCAAGTCCCTCTGTTTCTTTGTTCCTCTAGAGTTGAAAGGTGTAGTTCCCCTGCTCCTGTAGTTCAACCCTCTTTTCTCTTACACTAATCTTGCTGCAAACCTTTGTACTTTTGGGCGGAAGGGATAGGTGGAAGGGATGGTGTTGAGGGAGGGGGAGGAAAGGATGGTGTCAAAGAGAGGGGGGAAGGGATAACACAGCTGTATACAGTATGTTTGTGGTACAGGAAGGTATACAGAGTAACAAGGTTATCACGAGTAACCGAACTCAATTACGGGCTCACCATAGCCCGTGCTACATGGACATTTCGTTCTGAGTAGCTAAATCTAAAACAACAACAACAACAGGAAGGTAAATGAGGGCAGACTAAGAGCTGGGATAATGAGGGCAGACTAAGTGCTGGGATAATGAGGGCAGACTAAGAGCTGGGATAATGAGGACAGACTTAAGAGCTGGCGTAAGGAAAGCGAGTCCTTTTTGGAAGAATGTGTTAATGTTGATAACTCAACTGTGTTAGTTTGTAAGCGAAAGACATTTGTAATTCCCGCCAGTGCAGTGGTTATAGTCCTGCACATGCGCAGTGTATTGTCATAGTGTGAGGATGTTCCGCTCTAAAAGAAATGCGGATACGATTTGAAACAGAATATTATTGGAACGCGGGCGGTTAGCCAGAGACGCGCGCCGATGATTGCTTCACTTGGCTGGCGGCGGGAGGGAGGACCAGCCGACGCCAGTGGACGCTCGCAGGTTTTCAACAATACGTTTTAAGCGCAGTGAGAACCTTGGTCATATTGGTGGTGCTGTTTCTATAGTTAGGAGGATATATAGATATATTTAAATTGTGTGTACATGTGCCAGTAAGCGGCTGGTATTCAGTGTTGGTTGATCCGTCAATATTGGTGAGCACGTTTTCTACCAGCCATTGTTTATGATGTTTGTCTGTTAACTAGTAAAAATCTTGTCTCTTAGAATATCTAGAATTTCCAATTTGGGTTGTGAGAAGATTGTAAAGTAACGTAACGACTTTTAAGTCTGGGTTTTAGTGGGACCCGTATTCAAAGTAACTTCCAGTGCAGTAAATGTTCTGTGAAAATATTGTTTCCAATTTTAATAGTTATCGTGTTCAGTAACTTTAAGTTGTAGAAATAAACCACGTGTACGTTAGCTACTTTATTATTTCCCACTTATTGTGTACTTTAGCTTGGTTTGGCCCCTTAGAGGGTGAGTAGTGTGTCCCTTGTTTAAGGTACGGATGGTTGACCGTCATGACTAGTTATAGAGTAAACCCCAATAGCCTGTATGTTTTCAATGCAGTAAGGACAGGTTTCCATAGCTTGTACTCTAGCCTTCCCCCTGGGAGCCTCGTTTCCCCCCCCCCCCCTTACACTGGGGTAAAAGGAGAGACTGTAAGAGCTGCGATGTGAGAACAGCCTCAGAGCTGAGAACAGCCTCAGAGCTGAGAACAGCCTCAGAGCTGAGAACAGCCTCAGAGCTGAGATATTGGCGCAGTTGTCGTTGTTTAAGATTCAGCCGCTCGGAACAAAACGTTGCAAAGCAGCACGGGCTATGGCGAGCCCGTCGTAGACACCTGGCACAGGAGATGAAAACAGAATAAAAAATGAGATATGAGACAAACTAAGAGCTGGGATATCAGTATATGCACTAAAGAAAAAGGTACCCCCAACCACTTGCACCATCGGAGATAGAACTCCGACCTCGCAACAAGCGAGACCGTCGCTGTGCCGACCAGCCCAAGTGGAAGGCCATGAGTGATTGAATGCCTTTCATCGGGATAACACGAAGGACGACATCTATCACCGCCGGGAAAGCACGTGTAGTGAGGGTGTAGTGAGATGCGGAGAAACCTCTTCCTCCCACCGAGCAAGTTCTTGAATAGTGATGAAGAGTAGAAGCGATGCGTTACAAGCAGTCACAACCGGTAAACACTGTGACCTTCAGAGGCCCTCCGCGCTGTACCACGTAATCCACCTCCACCTAGAGGCTGCTTGAACTGTATAATCCACATCCTCTTATTCCTTTTCCTCCTTCTCCTCGACGACAGCGTTGTCTCATTTGGCGAGCTCCATGACCCCGGCCGGTGACAGCCTTCACGAATTAATATATATCCCCGCCAAACACACACCGAAACTACGACGTTGGTACAACGTTCGAACAAGTTTTAACACCTAACCAGTTATAACAACCAATATAGCAAGTTGTAACAACGTTCTAATACGTCATAAACACGTTAAGCCAAGATGTAACAATTTTATTACAAGTTGTAACAAGCGGAAAATAGAGACAGTTTCGTTTTGTGTTTCCAGAATAGATGCCACACGTATACTGTCTATACGAACCGTCGGTTTTTCTAGGAAGCGTGGGTGGCTTAGGGACATTTATGGGTTTCCAGGTAGCGTCGGTGGCTTCTGGGTTTCCAGGTAGCGTCGGTGGCTTCTGGGTTTCCAGGTAGCGTCGGTGGCTTCTGGGTTTCCAGGTAGCGTCGGTGGCTTCTGGGTTTCCAGGTAGCGTCGGTGGCTTCTGGGTTTCCAGGTAGCGTCGGTGGCTTCTGGGTTTCCAGGTAGCGTGGGTGGCTTCTGGGTTTCCAGGTAGCGTGGGTGGCTTAGGGGGCATTTCTGGGTTTCCAGGTAACGTGGGTGGCTTAGGGGCATTTCTGGGTTTCCAGGTAACGTGGGTGGCTTAGGGGCATTTCTGGGTTTCCAGGAAGCGTGGTTGGCTTAGGGGCACTTCTGAGTTTCCAGGATGGACACGTTTTGGAAAAGGATCTTGGAGCTTTTGACTCTCTTTACAGTTATAGGATTCATCAAGCACTTAACGTGTCCGCTTACGAAACCTGTACATTTTTCCTCAATCATGGCACCTTAGTTTACATTGAACATATGATTTATCAGGTGGTAAGTGTGTAACGGCTCAAGTACATTCTCTTCCTATTCTTGTACCTCCCTACCTCGCCCTTTCTGCATTGCTATATCCCTTCTCCCCAATTCCAGAGGTCAAGGGCTAGCGCTGGAAAATGTAATTGTTTCTAAACACAATCTAAAATGTAAACAACCCCAACCTCTCCTACACGTGTTCTTTCCTTTTCTTTCGCATCTCTCCTAATTCTCCTCTATTCCATTTTTTCCCACTCCTGGTACGTTCTCAGTTTCTCTCCCCCTCTGTCCCGTCCACTCAGAGGTCAGTGTGTGTGACGCCTCAACAGGCTATGAGCAGCGTTCATTTAGCCCGTCTCAAGGCACTACGGGCTCACCATAGCCCGTGTTACCTGGAACTTTATGTTTCAGGTAGCGAATCTTTAACAACAACAACATAGCCCGTCTCACGTGGAATATAAAGTAGTGGGACACAATGTTTCGAGGTGTATAGTCGCCCCTGGATGTATACTGTTACCAGCTGACCGGGTCTAGCAAGAGCTGTAGGTAACTTATTCCTGAGTTGCACAGGTTGAGGATCAACCCATTGCCAGCTAGAGTTGGGTATAATTGATTTTTTATTGATAAACTTCGGTGATAAAGTTTTACTTGTTATTTCAGTTTATTTATTCTTTGTCATTTAATTTGAGCCTATATGATCTTGAGCTTACTGGGTCTTTGGTCTTGTTGATTTCCCCAAGTGATTTAATATCTAAAGTAATTATCAACCAGCAGAAAGTAATAACTCATAATTATCACTTCAGTAATTATCAAAGGAGTATTTAAGTCCTTTTGTTTTGTATTCTTGACCTGTCTCCTCTTAGTTAAGACGATACAAAGCACAGTAATTAGCATATTAATTAACTTAATGGGAAGTGGTGACAGCCTTAATAACATCATATTTTTGCATGTAATTAGACTTGTCATAACATCCAAGTAGCTACTTTCAATACGGTAACTCAACTCTCCTCTCACTGAAATAATTCTGTGGATTTCACTTCCGGGGTGACTGGAATTGTTCTGGGATTTGTATATATCTTGGCGGTAAGGATAATTATTAATGTTAACATTGAACGAGCAGATGTGGTGGCTGCTAAAGGCGCTGAAGGAGACCATATTGAATACTTCATACCCAAGACTCTTCTACAAATTAAAGGTATTGTCAGGCAACATCACCGTGATAAGGTAACTGAGGAAAGGAGGATAGAAGCACAAATCAGTGAATCTGTACGATGGTACAACATGGTTGCAGCTGGCAATCCCAATCATTATGGCCGAAGAGGAGATGGCCGCGGGAGAGAATCAGTGATAGCGAGAATCCGTCTTGGATACAAATATCCATGGAGATATGGAATGGAAACAAGAGTTGATCAGAAGAGTGATGGACACCGCCTTGACCACTACCTGAGAGAATGTGAACATCTAAGATTTATTAGAAATATGTGTAGAATAATAAACTCCACATTGTTTGAGCTAGGAAAATACTATTTGTCAAATAGTATTTTCTTAAAAAGATTCCTTTTTAAGAAAATATATTTTTAGAAAATATGCTGTTCTTAAAAGATTCCCCCATTTTGCACCCGCAAAATAACGCAAGATTTTAAGGGTTGACAGATGTTAATCTTCTTGTTTAAAGAGCTGTTCACTTGAGACAGTTAAGCAAGTCCCAGCTGTGTCTGGGTACAAGTGACAGGATGAACAACCCAGCGGGTTTTCTTCCTATTGGGGAGTGTTGCTGCTATGGCGGTGTGTCCACTCACAGGATGAGTGACGCTGCCCAATACTGTCACTATGGCGGTGTGTCCACTCACAGGATGAGTGGCGCTGCCCAATACTGTCACTATGGCGGTGTGCCCACTCACAGGATGAGTGGCGCTGTCCCAATAAACTCGCCCCTCTGGGCAAAATACATCACAGCTTTTACATGGTCGAAAATTGTTTAATAAATGTCGACTAAGCCCCCCGTAATCAAGTGGCGGTCCTGATGTATGAATCTTCAGTGTCTTGAAGTTAACTTACGGGTAGATTAAGTGGTGCCATAGTTTGTTCTTCACGAGTCATCCATAGTGCCAGGTGCCATCATTTGTTCGACGTGAAGGCAACAGAGTATGGCACGAGGAGCTCCTTCCGGCTAGGTTACCCGTTGTTCTCTCTTGGTCGATGCCAATGAAGCACCATTCTCCATCACCTACCTTCCTTCACGTCTCTCCGACCCCTTGCTTGTGCAACTTGGCAAAATGGCTAGATTTAGACTGCTCTTGGACCTTGAAGAGAGATTTTTTTGTCTTGGTACCTTGAACTAGGTGGGGTCCCTTTCCTTGGTACCTTGAACTAGGTGGAGTTCTTTTCCTTGGCACCTTGAACTAGGTGGGGTCCCTTTCCTTGGCACCTTGAACTAGGTGGAGTCCCTTTCCTTGGTACCTTGAACTAGGTGGGTGTAACAGGGGTTGGGGGAAATAGCTCTATCTTGTCCATTATTCCACCCCCCAGTTAACTAACGAGGCCGGGGGAAACAGCTCTCTCTAGTCCGTTATCCCGTCCCCAGTTAGCTAACTATTCTAGAGCACCTCCAGAGTTCCTAAGGCAACCTCTCTCGTTCAACACCTTGTAACCTAGGTATTCGACTACCTAGGTGCTAAGACTACAAGGCGCCGTCACTTGATCAGTTACCCGAAACTCTAGAGAGAACTCTAGAATACAGAATCATTGCCACAAACGTATAAGAGAAAACGAAAGGAAAGAAATGAATAGTGAAGTAATTAGTGAGGGTTTGGGGTGAGAGGTAGGGAGGTGGGAGGAGCGAGGAGGGTCATTAGTTGAAAGTGAGAGTTTAGAGAGGGGTG